CCAAGTGGGGAAAGGAGAAAAAAAAGTGGAATTTTGGCAAAATCCACATGGAGATGGGGAGAATGTGGATTTTGGGGAAAATCCAACTGGGGAAAGGGGTAAAAAAAAGTGGAATTTGGGAAAAATCCACATTGGGATGGGGAGAACGTGGATTTTGGGGAAAATCCATATGGGGAAAGGGAAAAATGTGGATTTTGGGGGGAAAACATGGATTGTGGGAAAAATCCACATGGAGAAAGGGGAAAAATGCGATTTTTTTTTTGGGAAAATCCATTTGAGGAAGGGGGGAAAAAGTGGAATTTGGGGAAAATGCACCTCGGGGTGGGGAAAAAAGTGGATTTTGGGGAAAATCCAACTGGGGAAAGAGGAAATATGTGGATTTTTGGGGGAAAGGGTGGATTTTGGGAAAACCCCACCTGTCTGAAGGGGGAAAATGTGAATTTTTGGGGGGAAAATCCAGCTGGGCAAGGCTCCCTCCCCGACCCCGCCGCTCCCACGGGACACCCCAAGGATGGATCCCGATCCCGATCCCGATCCCGATCCCGATCCCGATCCCGATCCCGATCCCGGAGCCTTCCTCGCGCTCCTCCTCCCCCTGCCCGCCCCTTCCCATTCGCCTTTAATTAAAAACAAAAATTTACAAAAATTAAAATTTTTTTTCCCCCGTTCCCATGGCAACGCCTCCGACCGCTCTCGCCTTGGAAATAAAAGTTGTTTTTTCCTTCCCCCCCCCCTCCTCCTCCTCCTTTTCCTCCTTCCCTTCCCATTCCCATCCCAAACCCCCCCCCGGATTTTGATTTCCATTTGGATCATAATCCGCCCGTTGCCATGGCAACGCTGCCAGCCTTTCTGGCCCAGCCTTTGCAGAAACGGCTCCTTCCCCTTTTTTCCCCTTTTCCCTCCTTTTTATCCCCTTTTCCTCCTTCTCTCCCCCCTTTCCCCCATTTCTCCCTTTTTTCCCCATCTTCCCCTCTTTCCCCCCCATTTTCCCTCCATTTTTTCCCATTTCCCCTCTTTTTTTTCCTATTTCCCCCCATGTTTTCCTATTTTTTCCCCCATTTTTTTCCCCTTTCCCCCCATTTTTTCCAATCCCCCCCCATTTTTTCCCATTTCCCCCCTTTCCCCCCCATTTTTCCCCTCCTCCCTCCCCTCCCGGGGTCCCGGTGTCACTTTTGGGGTCGGGGCAGGAGGGACAGGAGGGGCTGCTCCAGCTCCGGGGGCCTCTGGATGCACCCCGGAGACCCCAGATCCCAAATCCCTGATCCCAAATCCCTGATCCCAATTCCCAAACCCCAAATCCCTGATCCCAAATCCCACATCCCTGATCTCAAATCCCGATCCCTGATCCCAAATCCCAGGTCCCAAACACAAAAACCCCAAACCCCAAATCCCAAACCCCAAATCCTAAACCCCAAACCTCAAATCCCTGATCCCAAACCCCAAATCCCCGATCCCAAATCCCAACCCCAGACCCGGCGTTATGCAAATGAGCCGCGTGCCCTGGAGAACGCAATTAAGCGCTAAGACCAGAGCGATTAATTAGGAGATAATGAAGAGAGAAGGAGCCGGGAGAGGGAAAAGGGGCGGGGCTTGGCGGCAGCGGGGGGAGGGGAAGAATTCCCAAAAATTCCCCAGAATTCCCAAAAATTCCCGAGAATTCCTGAAAATTCCTGAGAATTCCCGAAAATTCCCGAGAATTCCCGAGAATTTCCGAGAATTCCCAAAAATTCGCGAGAATTCCCGAGAATTCCCAATAACTCCCAATAGCTCCCGAGAATTCCCAATATTAATTCCTGATAACTCCCAAAAATTCCCAATAACTCCCAAGAATTTCCAGATCTTCCCGATAATTCGGGATGTTAATTCCCGATAATTCCCAAAAATTGCTGATAATTCCCGATAACTCCCGAGAATTCCTGAGAATTCCCTAAAATTCCCAATAATCCCCGCAAATCGGGAGCGTGGAATGAGGAAACCATTAAGGACTGAAGGAATTAATGAGTTAATCAATGAGTTAATGAGCTGGGACATTAATGAGCTCAGGGACACTCCAAATTCACCCCAAATCACCCTGAAATCACAAAAATTTACCCCAAATCACCCTAAAATCACCTAAAATCACAAAAAATCACCAAAAATAAAATATACCAAAAAAAAAGTTTAAAAGCTAATATAAAAATAAAATATACAATAAAATAAAATATAAAATAAAAAATAAAATGAAATATAAAAAAAGAACAAAATAAAAAATAAAATAAAATCTAAAATAAAGAACAAAATAAAAAATGAAATAAAAAGTAAAATAAAGAACAAAATAAAAAATAAAATAAAAAATAAAAATTAAAAAACCAAAATAAAAAATGAAATGACAGGCCAAATAAAAGAAATAAAACCCCCACAGGGAGGCAGAGGGCAGCCCGGGAATGAATGGGATGGGATGGATTTGGGATGGATTTGGGATGGATTTGGATGGATTTGGGATGAGTTTGGGGATCACTGGGATTGTCACGTAGGGACATTGAGCCCTGATCCCAAAGTGAGCCATCGATCCCAAACCAGATCCCTCCCACCCCAAACCGGAGCCATCCCAAAGCGGAGCCATCGATCCCAAACCAGCCCTGTCCCACGCCAATCGGAGCCATCGATCCCAATCGGAGCCATTGATCCCAATCGGAGCCATTGATCCCAAACCAGACCCTCCCATCCTAACTGGAGTTGTCCCATCCCAAACTGGAGCCGTTGATCCCGAAACAGAGCCGTGCCAACCCAAAATGGATCCATCCCATCCCAATCGGAGCCATCGATCCCAAACCGGATCTCTCCCACCCGGAACTCATCCCAATCGGAGCCATTGATCCCAATCGGAGCCATTGATCCCAAAGCAGACCTGATCCGTCCCAGTCGGAGCCATTGATCCCAAAGCAGACCTGTCCCATCCCAATAGGAGTCATTGATCCCAATTGGAGCTATTGATCCCAATTGGAGCCATTGATCCCAATCGGAGCCATTGATCCCAAAGCAGACCTGATCCGTCCCAATCGGAGCCATTGATCCCAAAGCAGACCCATCCCAATGGAGCCATTGATCCCAATCGGAGTCATTGATCCCAGTCGGAGCCATTGATCCCAAAGCAGACCTGTCCCGTCCCAGTCGGAGCCATTGATCCCAGACCGGATCCCTCCCATCCTAAACTGGAGTTGTCCCATCCCAAACTGGAACCCTTCCACCCCAAACCGGATCCGTTTCACCCCAAACCGGAGCCCCCGCCCCACACCGGACCCCCCTCTGCCCCACACCGGAGCCGCTCGGGGCCCTCCCGCCGCTCCCCGCGTGGCCCCGGGGCGGGAGTTCGGCCGCTTTTTGTTCCCGGGGGTCCCGGTGCTGCCCCGGCCCTCGGGGGTCCCGGGGGTCCCGGCGGTCCCGGCCCCTCGGGGGTCCCGGTGCTGCCCCGGCCCCTCCGCTCGCTCCTTCTCAAACCCCCGCGGTCCCGGCGGTTTTTTTGAGGTTTTTTTGGTGTTTTTCCTTTTCCCCCCTTTCTCTCCCTTCCCCTCTCTCCTCCCGGCATCTTAGCAACGCCGCCCCCTTAATTAAAAATTAGATTGGATTTTGCAGCCGGGAAGCGCCGGAGGCCGCGCTGGGGCTGCCCGGGCGGGGGGCGCAGCCCGGCCCGGCCCCGCGGACGGGGGGAGACCCCCCAAAATCCCCGCGGGGACGGGGGTGCCCCCCACCCTTCCCTCCGAGAGGTTTTGGGGACCCCCATCCCCCCCCAGCTCGCAGCTTTTCCTCAGCGTGACCTTGGCAGAGCAGCTCCCCGTGCCTCAGTTTCCCCCGGGGAGGGCACAGCGCGGGTTTGGGGGGTCGTGGGGGGGGGGGGGTCGGGTTGTGCCTCACCCCCGCCCCGGGTGGGGGCTCTGGGGGGGCTCTGGGGGGGCTCTGGGGGGGCAGAGGGTGCTCCGGGCTCCCCCAGACCCTTTTCCAAGGAACGCCCGGATTGGGGTCCTGGGGGCCCCCGGGGGTGCCCCGCACTCGCCACGGACGGACGGACGGACGGACGGACCCCCCCGGCCGGGTCAAGTCCTCCCATCACCCCCAGCCCCGTCCCCCCCATGCCCCCCCCGGTTTGACCCCTGGGTCCCCGAACCCCCCCCGGAACCGGCCCCGGGCACCGGGATGGGGGCCCGAAGCCCCGGCGCCGCTCCGGGGGCTCCAGCAGCACCGGAACCGGGCGGAACGGAGCGGCACCGGGCGGGGAGAGCCGGGCCCGGTTCCGTCGGGACCCCCGGTACCGGAGCGGGGTGGTCCCGGAGAGCCGGGCCCGGTTCCATCAGGACTCCCCGGTAGGGAACGGGGGTCCACGAGGAGCGGTCCCGGGACCGGGGAGAACCGGGCCCGGTCTCACCGGGATCTCCCGGTACCGAAGGGGGGGTCCGCGAGGAGCAGCCCCGGGGTTTGGGAGAGCCGGGCCCGGCTCCACCGGGACCCCCCGGTACCGGAGGGGGTGATCCGGGAGGATCGGCCCGGTTCCATCAGGACCTCTCGGTACCGAACGTGGTGGGGGAGGTCCACGAGAACCAGCCCTGGGGTTTGGGAGAACCGGGCCCGGTTCCAGCGGGATCTCCCGGTCCTGGATCGGGGGAATCCACGCGAACCCACCCCGGGATTTGGCAAAACCGGGCCCGCCACGGAGGCGAACCGGCCGCGATTGCATCCGAACCCTCCGGTACCACATCGGCGGCTCCACAAGCACCGACCCCGGGCCCGCCAGCACCGCCTGCACCCCCCGGTACCCCCCGGTACCCCCCGGTACCCCCCCGAGCCCCGGGCCCGGCCGGAGCCGCTCTCATCCCTCCGGGAACGGGCGGGACCGGCGGCGAGCGGGGCTGGAGCGCTGCCCGCGGAGTTGGGAACGGCGCTCCCGGTCCCGCTGCCGGTCCCGCTGCCGGTCCCCGACCCGCGGTGCCGGACGCCGCCCCCGGCCCGGTGCCCGCGGCGGTGCCCACCTTGCCCGCGGCTCCCGGCGAGACTCAGCAGGCACAGGAGGAGGATCCGCATGCTCCCGTCCCGTGGCGGCGGCCGCGCTCCGGGGCAGGGCCCGCCGGGGGTCCCGGGGCTCCGGGAGGGGTTCGGGGGGGGCCGAGCGCCGCCCCTCGCGGCCCCGCGCCGCCCCCGGTACCGGCAGCGCGGTTCGGGAGCCTGGCCCGGCCGGGCCGGGGCCGGGCAGGGGCCGGGAAGGGCCACGGAGCTCCGGCGGCTCCGCTGCGCGCCGAGCCCCGAGCGAGCGGCGGGGCGGGGGCGGGGCGGGCGGGGGGCGGGCCGGGGGCGCGGGGGGAGCGGGAACGGGGGAGGGACCGGGGGAGGGACGGGGGAACGGGGGGAGCGCGGGGAACGCGCGTGTCACGCGTGGGGCTGCGCGGGGGAGCGGCTGTGGGGCGGCGGGCGGGCGGGATTTGGGGCGGGAGGGGGGATTTGGGGTCTGTGAGTGGGATTTGGGGTCTGTGAGGGGGATTTGGGGTCTGTGAGCGGGATTTGGGGAGAGCGAGGGGGTTTTGGGGCGGGAGAGGGGGATTTGGGGCTGGCCAGCGGGATTTGGGGCGAGCGAGGGAGATTTGGGGTCTGTGAGCAGGATTTGGGGTCTGTGAGTGGGATTTGGGGTCTGTGAGGGAGATTTGGGGCCGGCCAGCGGGATTTGGGGCGAGAGAGGGAGATCTGGGGCCGGCCAGTGGGGATTTGGGGTCTGCCAGTATGGTTTTGGGGTGAGCGAGAGGGATTTAGGGTCTCCGAGGGGGATTTGGGGTGTGCGAGTGTGGTTTTGGGGCAGGCGAGGGGGGTTTGGGGCGAGCGAGGGGCATTTGGGGTGTGCCCGTGTGGTTTTGGGGTGCAAACGTGTGGTTTTGGGCGTGCACACACAGGTTCGGGGTGTGTGAGCGCGTTTTGGGGTGTAAATATGCGTTTTGGGGTCTTCATACACAGCCGCTCTCACGCCTCACCCGCCTTTGCACACGTGTTGGGCGCACATCTGCATTTTGGGGGCGCACATCTGCATTTTGGGGGCGCACATCTGCATTTTGGGGGCTCACATCTGGGCGCGCGCGCATCTGGCCGCGGCCGGGCACACCTGGGCACACCTGGAGAGGCGCGCGCGCACATCTGGCCGCGGTCTGTGCACATCTGGCCACGTCTGTGTGTCCGGGCTCCTCCATCTTCCATTTCCAGCGCTGGAATTCTCCCCCCACCCGTCCCTCTTTTTCAGCTTTTGCTGTTTTCTGCCTCTCTCTCTCTCTCTCTCTTCTTTTTCTTTTTTTTTTTCCTCTTTAATCTTAAATAGAATTTTTTTTTCCGCCTGGAGGGATTTGGAGGAAACCTGGGAAAATCGGGAAGCGGCGCCCGGCCCGGCCCCGCTGCGCGCCCGGAGCTGGGCCAGGGGGGTCGGAGAGCAGATTTATTTTGGAGCAGCAGAAATCCTTCCCAGATTTTTTTTCCATGGAAAAGACCATTTTTTCCCCTCTCTCCCGGGGATTTCCAAACGTTGTTGTATTTTTTTCCCTGCCCTGGCTGCGATCCCGGGCCTTGTCCCGGCGGCCGCACATTTCACATTCCCGGGACACACCGGGGGCTCCCTCCTCTCTTTTCCGTGCCTCCCCCAGCCCCCGGAATTCCCAAATTCCCGGGGGGCACCGGAACTTCCAGCTCCGAAGCGCCCGAGATGGGCCGCAGCAAAAAGGGATGGAAAAAATCGGATTTTTGTTCAAATAAATCCCCTGGGAACCGCCCGTGGGGGAACCCAGGCTGGGACACCGCCGTGCCCGTGGGGTTTGCGTGGATTTCCCCCAAATCCGCCGGAATTCTCTGCTCGAGGGTCCCTGGAGCGGGAGAGGCCCCGGAGCTGCCCCCGCTGCCAGGAATGTGAGGAGGAGGAGGAGGAGGAGGAGGAGGAGGAGGAGGAAGTCAGGGGTCAGGGAGGAGCCGGGAATTTGCTGACGGATCGGATCGGGACGAGCCGCGCTCGGAGCCGCGCGTGGGGCCGGGAGAGGCAGCGGAGAGCCCAAAATCTGGGAAGAGTGGAAGGAGAAGGAGTCACGGCCTGGGCAGCTCGGCCGCAGCCGTTATCCCGGTGCTCGGTCCGTGATTCCGGTGTTTGATCCCTTATCCCGGTGCTCGGTCCCTTATCCCGGTGTTGGATCCGTTATCCCGGTGTTTGGTCCGTTATCCCGGTGTTTGATCCGTTATCCCGGTGTTTGGTCCGTTATCCCGGTGCTCGGTCCGTGATCCCGGTGTTTCATCCATTATCCCGGTGTTTGGTCCCTTATCCCGGTGTTTGATCTTTTATCCTGGTGTTGGATCCCAAATCCCATCACTGGATCCCAAATCCCATCACTGGATCCCAGATACCATCACTGGATCCCAGATCCCATCACTGGATCCCAGATCCCATCAATGGATCCCAAATCCCAGCCGTGGATCCCAGATCCCATAATGGAATCCCAGATCCCATCACTGGATCCCAGATCCCATCACTGGATCCCAGATCCCATCACTGGATCCCAAATCCCAGCCTTGGATCCCAAATCCCAGCCGTGGATCCCAGATCCTGACATTGGGAAGTGCTGAGTGGGAACTGCCCCACACCAGCCGCTCCCCGATCCCAAAATCCCGGACCCGATCCCAGAACAGCCGGGGGGACACGGCCCCAGAAGTGACAGAGCCGGGACTGGCACCCCGAATTCCGGGGTTGGCACCGGGAGATCTGGGATCGGCTCCCGGAGCTCCGGGATTGGCACCTTGGGTTGGCACCCAGAATTCCGGGATCGGCTCCTGGAGCTCCGGGATTGGCACAGGCCGCGCTGTCCTCCCGCTGGTGGGCCATGAAATCCCAACCTGCGCCGGGAATTATCGGGATATTCATCCCGAGCCTCGCGGCTCCCGGAGGCTCCCAGAGAGGAGAACATCCGGGATGGACAAGAACATTTGGGATGGATGAGGAGAACATTTGGGGTGGACGAGGAGAACATTTGGGATGGATGAGGATAACGTTTGGGATGGACGAGGAGAACATTTGGGATGGACCAGGAGAACATTTGAGATGGAAGAGGAGAACATTTGGGATGGATGAGGAGAACATTTGGGATAACCAAGGAGGATCCTTGGGATGGACGAGGAAAGCGTTTGAGAATTTTGGGGTGGCCGAGGCGAGCACTCCTGGCCAGCCCCAAGATCTCCCTCAGGATTCCCTGGGGAGCTGCAGCCCCAGAATTGGGATGGAGGGGAGGAATTCCGTGATTTCCATTGTTTTTTTGGATTTTGGGCCCCAGCTCCAGCCCTTCCCACCCAAGGGCAGCTCTTTGTGATCCCTTCTTTACATTTTTCATTTTCCCCCAAAGATCAATTCCCAAATCCCTGAGTTCCATCCCGCGGGAATGATCTCCCTGCCGGGAAAAGCTGAGATTTGCAGGAGCTCCATTTCCCGGGAAAAGCCGGGATTTTCAGGAGCTCATTTCCCGGGAAAAGCCTCTCCAGCCCCAAAATGACTCCTGAGCTCCACGGGGATTTTTGCCAAAAAAAATCCCGGCAGCGCGGGGAGGGAGACAGGGGGGTGCTGGTGGTCACTGGTGGTCACTGGTGGTCACTGGTGGTCACTGGTGGTCACTGGTGGTCCTGGGGTTCTGGAATTACGGGGTCCTGGGGCCTTTGGATTCTTGTATTCTGGGATTCTGGAATTCTGGGGTTCCAAAATTCCAGAAATTCCAAAATTCTGAAATTTTGGGGTTCCGGAATTCAGGAAATCTGGGGTTCAGTGATTTTGGGATTCTGGGATTTTGGGGTTCTGGGATTTTTGGATTCTGAGATTTTGGGGTTCTGGAATTCTGGAATTCTGGGATTCTGGGATTTTGGGGTTCTGGGATTCTGAGATTTTGGGGATCTGGAATTTGGGAATTCAGGGATTTAGGGATTCTGGAATTCTGGGATTTTGGGGTTCCAGAATTTGGAAATTCTAGGATTCTGGGAATTTGGGATTCCAGAATTCTGGGTTCCTGGGGTTCTGGGGTCCTGTCCCATCCTGATCCTTCTCCCATCGGAACCAGCTCGGACACGGCTCCAGGATTGTATCGGGGCTGGGGCGGCTCGGGCACCCCGCAAGGCGGAGCTGCATCCCGGCTCCTCCTCTCCCGGAGGGATTTGGGATCTGGGGGGGTTCGGGGGCCCCCCGGCCGCTCGCGGTCTCCTGCTGCCACCTCCCGGTCTTGGCTTTGCGAAGAATTCCCTGGATTTTCCCTCCCTGCCGGCTGCGGGGGGCGGCCGGAGCAGCAAATCCCATAAAAACCGCTCGTCTGGGAGCTCGGGGAGGTTTTGGGGCTGGGACGGGGATTTTGGGGCTGGAACGGGGAGGCTTTTCGTGGCTGGAACGGGGATTTTGGGGTTGGAAAGTGCATTTTGGGGTTGGATATTCCTCCCCTGCTGCTGGGGTGTCCGAGCTGGGGACAGCGGAGCCATCGCCATGTCCCCGAGTGTCCCCGGCGCTGGCGGCAAAGGGAAAGCAAAACCCCCCAAAAAACCCGCGCCTGCCGGGGGATTAAAATGAATTCCCTCCGAGCTCTGGGGCTGAGAGCGCCGCAGCCCCGGCACGTCCTTGTCCCCTCGGCCGGAGGGGTGGCCGGGGAGGAGGAGGAGGAGGAGGAGGAGGAGGAGGAGGAGGAGGAGGAGGAGGAGGAGGAGGAGGGGAGGAAGGAGCCGCACAGAGCGGGGCAGAGGAAGTCCCGCCGGTCACTCGCAGCCCCGAGGGGTCCCCGCGCCTCCCGCGGCCGCTCCGGGGGCGCCGCTCCGGGATGTCCCCGCCCGGGGGTCGCCGCTGTCCCCCGGCGCTGCTGGCGCTGCTGCTGGGCCTGGCCGGGAGCCGAGGTGAGGAGGGGGCGCGGGGCCGGGGGCGCCGGGCAGGGCGGCGAGGATGCGGCGGTTCGGCAGCTCCGGGGGGCGGAGGGGCTCGGGGGACGGCGAGGGGCTGCGGGCGGATTTTGGGGCGTTCTCCTCGCTTCTCCCAGCCCGCCGTGCCCAGGGAAAGTCGGGGCGGGCCGGGCCGAGCCGCGGGGCCGGTTCCCCTTCCTGGGCAGCCTTTGGGCTGCGGCTTTGCCTGAAAGTCGCCACTTCCCTGTCACGAAAGTTCCCGAGCCCCACAGCTGCGAGCGTTCCCCTTCCCAAACTCAAATCCCTCCGCCGGGCCAGCACAGCCCCGTTTTCCCTGGGGTTTCCCGGGATTTTGGGGCAGCTGGTGCCGGCCGAGGGTCTTTTTCCCTCAAATCCGCGATTTCGGGTGCGGGGAGCAGGGAAACAGCGGGATGTGGGAGATGGATCCACCCTGGAGCATCTCCAGGTGCCTGGAGCATCTTCTGGTCACACCCTGGCGGGGTTTGGCGTCGCTGTTTTCCTGACAGCTCCAGGATTCGCAGAATTCCAGGATTTTGGAGGTTGGGAAAGAGCTCCGAGGTCATCGACCCCGGGCTGGGACCAAGCCCCACCCGGTCCCCCGGAATTCCAGGAATTCCTCGGACACCTCCAGGGGTGGGGATCCAACCCTCCCTGAGCCCCTTCCAAAGCTTTGTCTCTTTTCCAGGAGGGATTTCCCCAAATTTCCAGCCCTGGCACAGCTCGAGGCCGTTCCCTCTTGCCCTGTTCCATTCCTTGGGGATCAGATCCCAAATTTCCCGCGGATCCCCTTCCCCCAGCACCCTCAGGAGAACTCGGGACCCTCTCACACCCCCCGGCAGCCCCGGAGCAGCAGGAAAAGACAATTCCCGTGTCCTGCAGGAATTTTGGGCCCTGGAGCAGGGGAAAAGCCCTTTCCACCCCCCGCAGGTCCCACTGATCCATAATCCCGAGCAGGAAGGATCTCCCTGCTCCAGCCCCCGAAATTCCCGAATTTCCCGAGCCTCGGGGTGTCCCCACACCTGCAGCTCTGGAGCCGCTGGAACTTCGGGAGCTCTGGATGCGCCCGGGGAGGAATTTCCTGGCGGAAAACACCCGGGACGGGTGGGATCGGGGCCGGGAAGGGGCGATTTTGGGGCGTTGGGCCGTGCAAAGGAGCCCCCAGAGCCGCCCTGACCACACGGAGCCCCAGGAAGCGGCGTCGGCCCTCCGGATGTTCCGCGGGTGTTATTTTGGTGTTATTTTGGGGGCCTTCCACATCCGGGGCTGCTCTCGAGAAGAGAAACCCAGAAAGTTGAGAGGAAACGGGGCAGGGGGTGAAATTCCCTGGGATTGGGAGCGGGGACGGGAACTGGGGTGGGGTGGGGTGGAGTGGAGAGAGAGGAACCCCGGGATGGGGAATGGACACTTGAGCAGTCTGGGATAACGGGAGAGGGGAAATTTGGGATGGGAATGGACACAGAACCAGTCTGGGATAATGGGAGATGGGAAATTTGGGATGGGAATGGACACAGAACCAGTCTGGGATAATGGGAGACAGGAAATTTGGGATGGGGAATGGGCATAGAACCAGTCTGGGATAATGGGAGAGGGGAAATTTGGGATGGGAATGGACACAGAAACAGTCTGGGATAACGGGAGAGGGGAAATTTGGGATGGGAATGGGCATAGAACCAGTCTGGGATAATGGGAGAGGGGAAATTTGGGATGAGGAATGGACACAGAACCAGTCTGGGATGGTGGGGAGAGAGAGGAAATCTTGGGAAGGGGGTGGAGAACGGGCCCCGAGTGGCCCGGAGGTGGCCCCAGCAGTGACCAGGTTCCCTCTGGAGCCGCGGAGCCTCTCCTGGGGTCACAGCCTCAGGCGGGGCTCTGGTTCAGGATCCCCGGAATGCCAAAACCGAGCGGTGGCCGCGGGAGGATCGCTGTGCCTGGTGCCGGACAAACCCCTGCGGAACTGGATAAGCATCCAGTGGAAAGTGGAAATTAATTCATCAACGTTGCAGCAGATCCTGACAGCCACCAGGGATGGAACTGTCTCCCATCCCAGAGGTCCTTTCCATGGGAGAGCGAAATTCCATCAGGGAAACCTCTCCCTGTGCATCTCCCCGGCTCACGGGGCAGATAACGGCGTCTATAGGGCCGAGTTCGAGAGTTCCTCCCGGATTTTGTCCCGGTGCTTCCGCGTGTCCGTGTGGGGTGAGTGGCTGGCTCCCCGTGTCCCCTGTGCCCGTGTCCCTCCGTGCCCTGTCACCGCGGCTGTCCCCGCAGAGCCCGTGGCGCAGCCGGAGCTGAAATCCCAAATCCTGCAGCGGGGCCGGGGCTGGTGCCGCCTGGCCCTGCTCTGCTCCAGCCCCGGGAACGTCTCCTACAGCTGGGCCTGTCCCGGGGCCCCGCCGGGGGAGGGCCCGGGGCCGCTCCCGGGGCCGGGCCCGGACCCGATCCCGGGGATCCCCTCCCGCCTGGTCCGGAGGCTCCCCGAGGGCGCGGAACCCCAAATCTGCCTCTGCAACGTCAGCGGCCCCGCGGGCTGGAGCGCGGCCCGCGCCCCGCTCACCTGCCCAGGTGAGCTCCCCGCGCATCCCGGGCTCGGGGAGCCGGGAGGGACCCGCGGGCTGGGGCGGAGCGTTCCGGGTTCACCGGCCGGGAGTGGGGAATAACTGTGCTCACAGCGCTGGAAATATTCGGGGAAAAGCGTTCATGGAGATGTAAATTATGGCATTTAAAAATCAACTTTTGTATGTAATATACATCATTATTGCATGTATTCTGTGTAAAATCTATAGTTGCATAAATAAAATCCATTTATATCTCTAAAAGATATACTTATATATATAATATGTATTTATATACTATACTTATTTCTATATATAATGTATACTTATTTTTATATAAAAATATATACTTATATATATAATATATATTTATATACTATACTTATTTCTATATATAGTGTATACTTATTTTATATATAAATATATACTTATATATATAATATATATTTATATACTATACTTATTTCTATATATAATGAATACTTATTTTTATATATAAATGTATCTGGTCTTATATACTAAATAGATATTTTATATACATAAAATATAGATTTATTTTTATATTTTTAATACATAAATATTTATATATATTTTAATTTGATATAAGGCAAAAATATCAAGTTAGAGATTCAGGGAATGCTGGGACAGTTCAGGTGGGAAGAGTCCCCAAATTCCAGCCCAGTTCCAGGACTCTGGGATTCTTTTCCAGCAATTCCAGACGATTTTGGCCACTGGACACTGCTGGCCGTGGTCGTGGCTGTGGCCGTGGGGCTGACCCTGCTCCTCGTGGGCGGCTGCTGCTGGTGGAGGAAGAGGAGGAAGAATTCCCGGGAAGGTTTGTCCGGAATGTCGGGGCAGGATCCCAGATTTGGGGGATCTGAGCCCAAACTGTCCCTTGGAACCCCAAAATCCAGGAATTCTGACCCCACACTGACCCTTGGAACCCCAATTTGGGAATTCTGACCTCACACCGACTCTTGGAACCTCAAAATCTGGAAATTCCGACCCCACAGAGACCCCCGGCACCCCCCCGGGACCCCCGGAGCAGGAGCTGACCGTCTACGCCGAGGTGGGAGAGAATAAACCCCGCCAGGACCCCGTGAGTGCCGGGAATGTCCCTTCCCACCCAAAATCCGGGAATTTTGGGGTCGGGAAAACCCTCCAAGGTCCTCGAGTCCACCCTGGGCCTGACCCCAGCCTGGTCACTCAGCGTCCGGCCACTCCTCGGACCCCGCCAGGAGTGGGGATCCAAACCTCGGGCAGTTCCCCGGCCTGACTGCGCTTCCCGTGGGGAAATTCCCTCCACGTGGGAATTTTGGGAGCCCCAAGTTGATCCCTCCAACCATTCCCGGCTTTTTTGGTGTCCCCAGGCCGGGCCCGGCGAGGCCACCCAGGAAGGAGCCACCGTCTACGCCGTGGTCAGTCCCAGGACACTGGTAGGGTCATTCCCGTGGGATCCCCGCTGGTTCCCAGGCCAGATCCAGGTTTTATCCCAAAATTCTCCTTTTTTGGTGCATCCCGACCCTTTTTCCCTGGCAGGAGCACCCCAGGCACCGGGAGGAACCCGGGAATTCCACCGTTTACTCCATGGTGCAGTTCAGCCGGAGGGTGAGGCTGGCCTGGAGCGTCCCCAAGCCTTGGGGACACCAAATCCGTGTCCCCCGAGGTTCTGGGATCGCCGTCCCACTTTTCCCAACGGGAATTTTCCCCTTTTCCCTGCAGCCTTCCTCCATCAAGAGGAAGAGGTTGGACCCAGCTTTGGTCTCCACTGCCTACTTGGAGGTAACGGAGAATCCACAGGGGTTTTTTTGGGATGAAAAATCCCCAAAATGGCCCAAATCCCACTGTTTTCCTTGCAGGATAACGGGGGTTACAGGCGCCTGGGCTTCCCAAATCCTGCTGGCCACCAGCGCCCCTAAAACCCCGGAATTCCCATCCCTGTGGAATTCTTCTCCTGGAAACTCCAGTGGCCGCTGGGATCCCACCCGATGGAACAGAAATATCCAGAAATTCGGGGTTTTCCCCCAAGATTCAACCCCCGGCTGTGCCTGGGAGCGAAGATCTGGGGATGGGAAACTGCGGAAGGGATGGATTTGGGATTGGACAGGCGGGATGGGCGGGGAGTGGGAATTTTGTGGGGATTTTAGGGCTTGGAAAGTTTGGGAATCCTTGTATTCTCTTTTTCTTGGTGCAAATACTGCTGAGCTGCACAATGAACCTGTTTAATTAATTAATTGGCTGATTAGAGCCTGGATTACTCCTCGCGCATGGGGAGGGAGCGGGAATTTCTTTGGGAATCAGGAATTCTAGGCTGGAATTCCGGGTGGGGATGGGGTGGGAGAGGCGATCCCGGGACTGGGATTTTCTTTGGGATTGGGATCGAAAGGGGTGGCGCCTCCTCTCCCTCATCCCAAAAATCCTCGTGGCTGTTCCCAGGCATTAATTGGGATCATCCACCGGGCGTTAATCTGGATCGTCCGCCGGGAGGGAATTTAGGGAATTGCGGCATTCCGTTTTTTCCCGGCATTTTGGGGTGATCCCAACCCTTCCTCCACTTGTGGAAGTGGGCACTGGTGGACAGGTTGGTGCGGGATTGGGTGGGAAAAGCTCAGGACTGGGGAAAAGGATGGAAAACCCATTGGAAAAAACGCCGGGAATGCCTGGGTGGCATCTCGCGGAATTGTGGAAAATCCCGGCAGAAAAGGACCCCCCAGGATCATCCCAGCCACCCCAAAATCCAGAATTTTCCCTAAAATTCATCCCCAGATTTCCCCCTTAGAGGAATAATTTCCCCTAAAATCCACACCAAACTTCCCCCTAAAAAGAAAAATTTTCCCTAAAATCCACCCTGAACTTCCCTCTAAGAGGAATATTTTCCCCTAAAATCCATCAGAAATTTCCCCCCAAAATCCAGAATTTCCCTGAAAATCCATCCTGAACTTCCCCCTAAAAAGAAGAATTTTCCCTAAAATCCATCCCGAACTTCCCCCTAAAAAAAAGAATTTCCCCTAAAATCCATCACAAACTTCCCCCTAAAAAGAAGAATTTTAACTAAAACCTACCCCAAACTTCCCCTAAAAAGAAGAACTTCCCCTAAACCCCATCCCTGGAGCAACTCCAGCCCTTCCCCATCCCACAGGACAAGCGCGGGTGCGCTGTAATTTATTCTAATGACCCTCATTTGCATATCGGGACTAATTTTCCGCCACTTCGCCGTTCCCATTTCTCCGGTTTCGGCTCGGGGCGGAGGCGGGCCCGGGGCGCGCTCGGGGCCGGGGCCCCGCGGGGGTGGCGGGGGTCGCTGTGTTCGCCGCCCCCCGCCCGTGGGAAGGCGCCGCGGCCGTTGGTGGCCGGGCGGGGACAGCGGCGGCCCCGGGGAGAGGGGACAAAGGCGGCGGGAGGAATCCGGGCTGGAATTCCAACCGCTCCCGATCCCGGGAAATGCCGCGGGGATTGTCTGGGGCTGGCGGGAGAGAGCTGGAGAGAGCCCGGCCTGGCCAGCCGGTGGCCATCCATTGGTCAGTCAGTGGCCAGCCAGTGGTCATCCATTGGTCATCAATTGGTCATCAATTGGTCATCCATTGGTCATCCATTGGTCATCCAGTGGCCATCCATTGGTCATCCATTGGTCATCCAGTGGCAATCCATTGGTCATCCAGTGGTCATTCAGTGGTCATCCAGCGATCATCCATTGGTCATCCATTGGTCATCCATTGGTCATCCAGTGCTGATCCAGGAATCCCTCGGACACCTCCAGGGATGGGATCCAGCCCTCCCTGAGCCCCTTCCGGCGCTTCCCAACCCTTTTCCCGTGGAAAAATCATCCCAAATTTCCCACCCTGGCACAGCTCGAGGCCGTTCCCATTCCCTGGGATCAGATCCCAAATCCCCCTGGCAGATCCCAAATCGCCCCTGGGATCAGATCCCAAATCCCCCTGGCAGATCCCAAATCCCCCCTGGCTGTCCCCAGGCTTTGGGGTCACTCTGGTCACTCCCAGTGAGGGGGAGATGTGACCCTTGGGGTCAGTGTCCCACTGGCCATTGGGACCATGGAGGGGGGGTCCTGGATGGATTTGGGGAGATTTGGGGCATTTTGGGGACTTTGGGTAGATTTTATGGGGATTTGAGGGGTCTGGGGGAGTCTTGGTGGATTTTCAGGCGATTGGAAAGATTTGGGGGCCCCGGGTCACTCCGGTGGGGATGTGGGGCGCGCATGAGGCCCCCCCATCGTGGGGCTGTGACACACTTGTGACGTTGCCCACAGAACAGGAACCTCCATCACGTGCGCTGTCCCCACTTCCCTTCAGAGCTCCCCAGCTCTGCCTTTTGGGGGTCTCGGGGGGCTCCGGCCTTGGGGGGTCCTGGGGAGCAGCCGCCCCGTGAGTGGGGTCCCACCCCGAGGGGGGTCCCAGCGCGGGTTTGGCCCCGTCCCACCCGTGGAGGTGACACCGGGGACAGAAGATGGCGCCGGGGCTGACGCGGACCCTGCTGCTCTTCCTCCTCTTCCCCGCGCGAGGTACGGGGCTGGGGTGGGGACGCGGCTCTGGGGACACTTGGGGACCTCGGGGTGACCCCACCCTGCCCCACAAGGTGCCACCACCGGGTCCCTCCCCACGGGAGCTGCCACGCCCGGGGAGAGGAACGGACTGTCCCTCGGGAGGTCCCAAAAAAATAGAAACGAGGGAAAAACGAATCCCTGAGGGATTTGGGGTGGGAAAATTCGGAATCCTGCTCCTGCCCCGCTGCCTGCAGAGGGCCCAGGAAGGGTGGAGTTATTGAAATCTTATTTTCAATAATTGAGAGATTTCTGTTTTGAACCTGGTGGGAACTCCAAGACCTGGGGAAGGACGAGCGGCCCAACTCCACCATCCCCAATTTTTTTGGCAGCCTGGGCAGGAGAGCCCCAAACCTCGCAGGTGACCGGAGCCGTGGGGGGGGTGGCGCTTCTGAACCCCCGCAGCCCCCAAAACCCCTCAAAATATTCCCAAATCCATTGGCGCTGGGAAAACGAGCTGAGAATCGCCAGCTGCAGGCCGGGGGAGCAGCCCAGCTACCCCCGGAGCCGCTTCTGGGGCCGCCTGGAGCTCCTGGAGAACGCCACGCTCCGGGTGAGCCCGCTGGGCCTGGCCGACAGCGGCGAGTACCACCTGTACCTGGAGGATGACACGGGCAGGGAGAGCGTCGAGAAGGTCCGGCTGAAGGTCTATGGTGAGTCCGGGACCGGGAATTGTGCCACAGCTCCCGGAGGGCGTTGTGACATCCCGGCCTCTCCTGCAGACCTGGTCCCGAAGCCCCACGTGGTGGCCACCACCAACGGTGACCCTTGGCAGTGCAACGCCACCCTGAGCTGCTCTGTGGGCCTCCAAGAGGTCACCTACGAGTGGATCACACCCCAGAAGCCCCTGATGAAGGAGGGCCCGGTCCTGAAGGTCTCCTTCAACCCCGTGGTGGAAACCTACGTGTGCAAGGTCAGCAACCCCGTGTCCTCCAGCAACGCCTCGCTGACCTTCCACCACCCCTGCAGCTGGACAGGTACGGCCACGGCCGGACACAGCTCCGGGGAGGGGTGGCCTGGGCTTTGGGGGGTCCCAGAGTGGCTTTGGGGGGTCCCCGAGTGGCTTGGGGGGGATCTGGGGACTTTTGGAGCGATCGCGCAGAAATGTTTGGGTTGGGAAAGAGCCCTGAGGTCATCGGTCCAACACGGGGCTGACCCTGTGAGGTCACCCAGAGGGATCTCCAGGGGTTCCTCGGACACCTCCAGGGGTGGGCATCTCAAACCTCCCTGAGCCCCTTCCAAGGCCTTTTCCACATTTCCAGGAGGAATTTCCCCAGATTTCCCACCCTGAACCTCCCCTGGCACAGCTTGGGGCTGTTCTTCTGTCCTGATTTTGGAGTCCACCTCAAAATTGACTCCACTGTGGTGTCAGAGGATCCCTGAACACCAAAACTGAGCCCAGAGGGGATCCAGAGGTCCCTAAACCCAAAAACGAACCCTTGGGATACCAGGGGGTCCCTGAACCCCAAAAATCAGTCCAGGAGCGGTCGGGGTCCCTTTTTCCCTGGGAGCAGATCCCAACCCCAAGGTGGGTCCCGGGGGTGGTGGGTCCCTTTCCCTCTGCCCCAGGTGGGTCTGGGGAGGGATTTGGGGACCATCCCGGAGCTCCTGGATCTGCCTCTGCCTCCAGACGAGTCCTCGTCCGTCGCCTGCGCCACGCCCAGCGGCCGGGTGGCCCTGGGAGCCTTCGTCCTCCTCTTCCTCCTGCTCAGTGCGGCCTGAGGGCCCCGCGGGCGACACCTCCGCTCACCTCCTCCCCTTCCACCACCACGGGGCCGGCGCCCGGACCCGGATCCCGAAATCCTCCAGGCACGGAAAGCCACAGCTGCGCCAGGGAACGGAGTCCCGGAATTGCTCCGTTCCCGGTTCATTTGGAAATCCTCCCGTCCCCCGCCCCAAAATCTGCACGGAGACCAAATCTGAGCCTGTCCTGGGGTTTCCTGGGATTTTGGGGGGGTCCTCCTTTGGCGCTCCCTGCGAGGGAGGGTTTGGGGCCGGTTTTGGCTTTCCCAAAAGTTTGTTTACACATTAAATTCCATCCTGAACACCGCGTTTTTAGGGTTTTCTGGATTTTTCCCGGGGCCGGGACATCCCACAGCTCGGGGATCAGAGGATGATGGAAAAAGCTCAGAGATGTTTCCTCCCAGCCCCATTTTTGGGGAGAAAATCCCTTCCTTTGCCCCCCAGAGGAGGACCTGGCTCCGGAGGGTGGGACATGGATCCAGCGGGGTGGGAAGAAATCTCGGGGACGATGGAGATGATCCCTGAGCCTCCAAAAAAAACCGTGGAAAAGTTCTAGCTTCACGCCAACCCAGCCCAAAAAAGGGGAAAATCAGGGGTTTCACCTCCATAAATCCCAAAACGTTCCACTTTAAACAACGATTCCCAAGGCTGGAATCCTCCAAGGGCCAACAGGCACAGCGATCCTCCCGCGGCCACCGCTCGGTTTTGGCATTCCGGGGATCCTGAGCCCGAGCCGGGGGAGTCGCGACTTTCAGGCAAAGCCGCAGCCCAAAGGCTGCCCAGGAAGGGGAACCGGCCCCTTTCCCTGGGCACGGCGGGCTGGGAGAAGCGAGGAGAACGCCCCAAAATCCGCCCGCAGCCCCTCGCCGCCCCCCGAGCCCCTCCGCCCCCCGGAGCTGCCGAACCGCCGCATCCTCGTGCCCTGCCCGGCGCCCCCGGCCCCGCGCCCCCTCCTCACCTCGGCTCCCGGCCAGGCCCAGCAGCAGCGCCAGCAGCGCCGGGGGACAGCGGCGACCCCCGGGCGGGGACATCCCGGAGCGGCGCCCCCGGAGCGGCCGCGGGAGGCGCGGGGACCCCTCGGGGCTGCGAGTGACCGGCGGGACTTCCTCTGCCCCGCTCTGTGCGGCTCCTTCCTCCCCTCCTCCTCCTCCTCCTCCTCCTCCCCGGCCGCCCCTCCGGCCGAGGGGACAAGGACGTGCCGGGGCTGCGGCGCTCAGCCCCAGAGCTCGGAGGGAATTCATTTTAATCCCCCGGCAGGCGCGGGTTTTTTGGGGGGTTTTGCTTTCCCTTTGCCGCCAGCGCCGGGGACACTCGGGGACATGGCGATGGCTCCGCTGTCCCCAGCTCGGACACCCCAGCAGCAGGGGAGGAATATCCAACCCCAAAATGCACTTTCCAACCCCAAAATCCCCTTTCCAGCCCCAAAACGTTGTCCTTAAGGTCCCTTGCATCCCAAACCAGGCTGGACCAGCAGCTCCCAGTTCCTCACCAGGGCAGAGGAATCAGAGGTTATTTTTAGGATTTTTAATCCATCTTTAAAGGACCTTTAAAAAATATTTTTTAGAACATTTTAAGATCACTTTTTAATCTGCTCCAGCTTACTTCCCCCTCTCCCCAAAATTTCACCACGACTGTCGGCATGTGACCTCAGTCATCCGGATTGGAGAAGTGCTGCTTCCCCAGAATTGCCATTGTCCCACTTTCGGGGCGGCTTTTTGGGGGTTTGGGGGGGGCTGGAGCAGCTCCTTTATGGCCCAGGCTGGGGGAGCTGGGGCTGGTCCCACGGAGCACCTGAGCTGTTCACACGCAGCCACGGTGACTCTCCTGGTCCACCCTCATCCTTCCATGGAAATTCTGTCGCTTTTTCCCCAACAATACCTCAAATATCCATGACCGTGCCTTTCAAAAGCCATCTGCTTGACGTCATTTCCGTCCCAACCACATCCAAAGCCCCTCGCCCCACCCAGGCACAGAAAAACCATCCAGGTTCTCTTCTTCTTCCTGTTTGTGGCACCGTTTTTGCGTGCTGATGGCCCAAAATCCTCTCCATTTCCGGACGCCCATGGACGTGTCTTGGATCCCTCTTCTCGCCTTCCTCATGCTCCTCCAGCAAACCGGTGAGTGCCAGGTGCTCCTTGTCGTGGGAAGGAGATTTTGGGGTGCTTTGAGGGTTTTTAGGGTCAGGGGAGAGCGGGGATGGGTGGGACCACCCGAGCAGCACCACGGGGTGGATCCATACCCAGAGTTGGGATCATCCACGGATCTCCCGCTGCCATGGAAACCTGCTGGGAGAGGGTTGGTGTCCACCTCTGGTCCAGCCTCTGGCCAGATGCTGCCTGGGGAGCTCCTGGCAGAAGTTATTCCATGGATTTGCCATCCCTGCAGTGACCGAGGCTGGGATGGACCCACCTGGGACTCTGGAAGCTTCCAGGCGGTGGAACGGGATAATTTTAGGTTCCCTCCCAACCCAAACCTTTCCAGAATTCCCTAATTCTCCTCCAAGGAGCAGCTGCACGTCTGGCCAGGAGCTCCCTGTCCTGCTCAGGTCGCCGAGCTCAGACTTTGGTGCTCGGGGCGAACCTTTCTGACCTTTCCAAACCATCTCCAGCTTTCTCCCTTCCATTTTCACCTCCAGGCTCCCTCCTCGTGTCCCTCTGCACGTGCCAGGCGCTCCTTGTCCCTTGGCAGGGAGCCCGTGGTGGGTTTGGGGTGGTTTAGGGACCCTCAGGAGGGTGGGGACGTGTGGGATCGGCTCCGCAGGGGTGGAGAAGGGGGCAGCCTCTCAGAGATGGGGCAACCAGGGCGAAAGATGGGGCAAACAGGAGAAAAGATGCCCAGGCTGCTCTCCTGGCCATGAGACCCCTCTGAAAAGGAGCGGTCAGGTCCACATCTGGTCCAGATGTGCTCCAAACATCTGCTCTACTTTCAGATCCTGCTTCTCTCCACGTTGGCTGACGATTTTTGCAGGTCTCGTCTTGGGGTGTTTTTTGGGTGAAAAGAGGGAAATTGGGCAAGGTTTGGCCACAGCCCTTCCCCACAGCCTCTGGGGGTGTTTATCATATGAACCATCCTGTGGCTGCGTAATTCAGCAAATTTCCCACGAGTTTATCTTCCCCAGCAGCTTTTTCCTGCCACATGCTCTGCTGTCCATGTCCCAGAGGGCCCTGAGGCTGAGGGAGACAGAAATTCCGAGCCCGGCCTCGGGGCTGAGCCAGGACCAGTTCCCTGTTAGAAAAACCGGGAAGAAAACTCCATTCCCAGTATAAATCAGGTGGCACGGTTGATTGGAAATGGGAAGTCACGAAAACGATTAAAACAACTCCTTCCTCCTTGAACCACTGCCCAGGGTCATGGAGGGAAGGATGGGACCAGAGCGACCTTGGACCTTGTCCGGGGCTGCATCCAAAGGAGTGTGGGAGGGTTCTCATCTCTGGAATGATGAGAGTCCACCTGGAATGGTGAGAATCCGCCTGGAATGGTGAGACCCCACCTGGAATCGCCAGATCCCATCTGGAACCGCCAGATGCCACCAGACCTGGTGCCCCCAGCATGGGAAGGTCATGGAACTGCTGGAACAAGTCCACAGTTTCACAGGGGCCCTTCCCTGCGGCCACAGGGAATCTTCAGCCAGGAGAAGACGTGGTGGAGCTGCCCCACGCGCCCCTGGCAGCGTCCAAGGCCAGGCTGGACAGGGCTGGGAGCAGCCCGGGCTGGTGGAAGGTGTGGGGATTTTAGGGGAGCAGAATGAGAGGGATTTGGGGTCCCTCCCACCCGAACCTTTCCAGAATTCCCTGATTCTCCTCCAAGGAATCGCGTCTGGCCAGGAGCTCTCTGTCCTCTCAGTGACTCTTCCTGACCTTCCCATCTGCAGCTCCTTGTTCCCCTTTCCCTTTCAGTTCCTCTCTGGACTCTGGTCTCCGCACGAGGCTGTGGGGGCTGAGCCTGGGGGTGGCCTCGTGCTCTTCTGTCACCCAGGGACCCTTCCAGGAGCTCCCCATGAGCCTTCACACAGCCCCAGCCCTCATGGGCTTCATTCTCCAGGTGCAGCAGCTTCATCCCACCTTGATTCCACCTTGGTCTCACCTTCATCCCACCTTTTCATCCCATCTTCGTCCTACATTCCCCCCAGCTCCATCCCGCCCCATCCCAAGTTTCCTCCCCGTTTTCTCTCCCCAGTGAGCGCCAGCGACACCGAGGACGTCTTCGGGGTCCTGGGTGGGTCCGTGACCTTCCGCAGCCACAACAGAGACAAGGAAGCAGCATTCTGGAATTTTGGGAATGATCCCATCGTGACTGCATCGTTTGAGGATTCTTCTCCACCCATATTTTCAGTAGAAAAATTCAAAACCCGTTTTGCTGTCTCCGAGAACGGCCGTGCTCTCAGCATCTCCCTGCTGCAGATGGAGGATGCCGGGACCTACTCTGTAACCATCGGCGGGAAGAAATCCACCTTCACCCTCCAGGTGTTCAGTAGGTGCTGTTTGTGCTCTTTCGGGGTTTCCACACTCCAAGAGAGGTTTGTGACACCGCTGTGCCCCCAGGGGAGCTGGCAGAGCCCACGGTGACCTGCGAGGCCCAGAACTGCTCGAGCGGGATCTGCAGCTTCTCCCTGCGCTGCTCCGCGCGCGGCGCCGGCGTCGGGAACATCTCCTACACCTGGAGGGTGCGGGATCGGCTGTGGGGCGAGGGCTCGGTGCTGCTGTGGGGGAACGAATCAGCCCGGGACCAGCCGGAGCCGCTGACGTGCACGGCACGGAACCCCGTCAGCAGCAGGAACGTCACCGTCAGCACCCCCGGCGTGCTCTGCTCCGGTGAGAGCCGGGAGAGCTGGGGAAAGGTGGGACGGGCTGATCCCGGTTCCCTGAGAAACACGGGAAGGTTGGGCCGGGATGGGCTGATCCCGGTTCCCTGAGAAACACGGGAATGCTGGGGTTGGGATGGGCTGATCCCAGTTCCCTGAGAAACACAGGAAGGTTGGGCTGGGATGGGCTGATCCCAGTTCCCTGAGAAACACGGGAAGTTTGGGCTGGGATTTGGGATGGGAAAGTTGAGGTTGGGATGGACTGATCCTGGTTCCCTGAGAAACACGGGAATGCTGGGGATGGGATGGGCTGATCCCGTTTCCTTGAGAAACATGGGAACACTGATCCCGGTCCCCTGAGAAACACGGGAAGGTTGGGACTGGGATTTGGGATGGGAAAGTTGAGGTTGGGATGGGCTGATCCCAATTCCCTGAGAGCCATGGGAACATTGGGATTCGGGGATGGGACAGGATCAGTGGGATGGGATGGGATGGGATGGGATGGGATGGGATGGGATGGGATGGGATGGGATGGGATGGGATGGGATGGGATGGGATGGGATGGGATGGGATGGGATGGGATGGGAATGCTGAGGTTGGCATAAGCTGATCCTGCTCCCCTGAGATCTTCCGCATCTTCTCCCTTTTCCAGGCGCCCTCTCCAGCATCCAGGCCGGGGTCGGGGTCGGGGTCGGGGTCACAGCTGTGGTTGTAGCCGCGGTGCTTTTATCGGTCTCCCTCTTGTTCTTCCGGAGATCCAAAGGTGAGCGTGGAAAAACATCCCTGGAGCCCTGGGAAGCAGGAGGGGGCACCTGGGAGGGGAGCAGAGCCAGGATGGGGCAGATTTGGGGTGGATTTGGGGCAGATTTGGTGTGGATTTGGGGCAGATTTGGGGTGGGTTTGGTGTGGATTTGAGGCAGATTTGGGGTTCTGATTCTGTCGCATCTCCCCCAGGCTGGCAGAAATTCCATCTCTCCAAATCCAAGCCTGCGGACACAGGTGGGATTTCGGGGCAGTTCCTGGTGGGAATAGCCAGGGAATTGCATTTAGGATCGGGGGAATCATCCCCAGTGTTGTGGTTTGGGATCAGAGCTGAAGGACCCCGACCCCTCTGTCCTGGCGGGGAGTGGCAGGGGCTGATCCCGGGGGATGAGCCCAGATTCCTGAAATCCCATTTCCCCCCATTTTTTTTTGCTGGAAAATTTAATCCCAGACCACCAAGGGGGAGCTGGGAGCACAGCTGCGGGACCATGAAAAAAAAAGAGGGAATTCAGGGAAAAATAAAAGCTGGCAAGAGACATTTTGGGGGGAAAAGCCAGGAATTCCACTCGGTGACGCAGGGTTAGTCCAGCCAAGAATTCCAGAATCCCCGGGGCTGGAAAATCCCTCCAGAACCACCGAGTTCAAGTTGTGCCCGATCCCCACCTGCTCCCGGAATTCCAGTGGGAAATTTCGACCCCAAAATGGGATTTTAGAGGATTTAAATCCCCCTTTCCCCCTCCTCTGTTCTATGAGCAATGTGGGGATGACATGAAGAAGAAATAAATGGATTTTGTCCTCCAAAAGCGGACAGGAATTTGGGATTAAAAAAAAAAAAAAAAGAAAAGGAAAGGAAAAAAAAAAAAAAGGCAAAAAAGCGGATTTTCCCTGTCCTTGGTGCTGGAAGTTCATCCCAACCCCACAGCACCAGGGAGGGGGGATGAGGAACCATTCCCGCCTTCAGCAGCTCCGAGGGGCTTTGGGCTCGAGGTTTCACCCAAGCCTGGACTCCTGAGGTTGGGATTCCCTCCACCCCCCGGCCAGGAGCACCCAGGGGGAATTCCCTGCATCCCAAACCCCCAAATTCCTGCTTTTCTCCCCAATTGCAGCGGCCACAGCCGAGTACACGACCGTGTACGCCGAGGTGGGCACCTCCCAGCTGGTGAGTCCGGGGCTGGGGACAGCCTGGGGACACCCTGGGGACACTCTGGGGACACCCCGGGGACACCCTGGGGACACTCTGGGGACAGCCTGGGGACACCCTGGGGACACTCTGGGGACACCCCGGGGACACCCCGGGGACACCCTGGGGACACTCTGGGGACACCCCGGGGACACCCTGGGGACACTCTGGGGACAGCCTGGGGACAGCTGGACAGTCCCTGGCTCCATTTGAGAATTCCAAGTGGGATGTGCCACAACTGGAGGTGGCCCAAGGGCACCTGAACGTGCCCAAAACTCCATGCCCAGCCCCAAAAACTGAGTTTTAGAGGGATCAGGGAGAAATGGGAATTTTGGGGTTGGGAGGGAGTTTAAAATTGTCCCATTCCAAGGGTGGGACACTTCCCACTGTCCCAGGAGCTCCAGCCTGGCCTTGGGACAGGCAGACCAGAATTGGGTCTTTGTGGGATCTCTGGGTTTGGGATCTTTCCTCCAGCACCGAGCCCTGAAACTCTTCCCAAATCCTCTTCCCGCAGCGCGTCCCTAATGGAGTTAAAGCCGAGCCGGCGGACGGGGGATCCCCCAAAACCATTTATTCCCTGGTCCAGTGTCTGGAGAAGGTGAGCTGGGCAGCCCCGGGTGGGGGATGGAACCCCTGGAGCTGGGCGGGGACAGAGCAGTCCAGAGCCCTAAACCAAAGCCCTGGATCTCCATCCGAGGCTGGGATCGGCTCCCACCACCCCAAACCAAGCTCGTGTCCCTCTGTCCTCGCAGGCGGACAATGGGACGGCAGAAAATGCCACCAGGACCGGCCTGGAGCTGGTCTAGAAGGACCTGGGACTGGTCTAGAAGGACCTCAAACTGGACTAGAAGGTCCCAGAACCGGCTTAAAGGGCATGAAACTGGTTTAAAGGACATAAAACTGATTTAAAGGACATGAAACTTTTCAGAACATGAAACTGGCTTAAAAAATCTGGACGTGATTTGAAAGTCTGCAGCTGTTTTAGTGAGTCTGGACCTGGTTTACAAGAAACCAGGATTGGTTTAGAAGAACCTGGAACTGGTTTAAAAGACCCAGAACTGGTTTAGAAGGGCCTGGAACTGGTTTAAAAGACCCAGAACTGGTTTAGAAGGGCCTGGAACTGGTTTAGCTCAGACAGATGGACCCCACAAGGCGACTCTGGAACAGCTCCAGCGTCCCCGATCCTGCTCTGGACCCGGATCGTGCTGATCTCGCCCTCCTGGGATCTCCGCTTCTCCTCCTCATTGGTGCTGCCTCAGTTTCCCTCTCAGCAGCCTCAGTTTGGGATTTCAGGGAGGATTTTTGGGATCTCTCTCCAGACTTTTGGGGTCCAGGCTCCGTTTGCCACCCTCTCCCACCGGGATCCTGGACTAAAACTCTGCCAAAGCTGCAGGGGCTTCAAGACAAGCTGGAGGAGGCTCCTAAAAGGCGTTTGCCATGGAATCCCGGAATTCCCGAGGTTGGAAAAGCTCTCCAGGACCACCAGTTCCAGCCTGGGACCAATCCTGCTCACCCAGACCAACATCCAATGGGTTCCTTGGACACCTCCAGGGACGAGGGCTCCACACCGGCCCCTTTTGGGTGGAAACCCTTTTTTTTTAATTTTAAAAGGAATCATCTCAGGGAATCTTTGGAAACTATTATTTGTAGATGATTTTTTTTTTTTTTGCAAACAACTTTTCCGTAAATGATTTTTGGCTTTTCTCTTCTGCTGCATTCTGGGCCTTGCAAATCTTCAGCTTCTGGCTTGGTCGAAAACAACCAAAAATAACCCCAGGAAGCTGAAGAGAGAACAAGAAGCTTCCCCTGTAACATCGGTGTGGTTTTGGCACCTGTTCCCTTCCCCCACCTCCAGAACTTTCTAAATTGTGCAGCACCCACCCTCCCCCCGCAAAAAACCCCCAAACCTCAGCCACACCAACCCCTGCAGGGCCAGGAGCTGGGATCTGGGATCTGGGATCTGGGATCTGGGATCTGGAATTTGGGGTGGGTCTGAGGGAAAACGGGACATGGAGAGCGACTTTGGTGTCTTTGGGTTTTAATTTTGCGTGAGGGATTTTTGCTGCACTGGGTGGATTCCCAGCAGGATTCTGGGCATCCCAGCAGGAATCCCGGCAGGAATTTGGAAATCCCAGCAGGAATCTGGGAATCCCAGCAGGAATTTGGGGATCCCAGAAGAAATCCCAGCAGGAATCTGGGAATCCCAGCAGGAATTTGGGAATCCCAGAGGAAATCCCAGCAGGAATATGCAGATCCCAGCAGGAATTTGGGCATCCCAGTGGGAATCCCAGCAGGAATTTGGGGACCCCAGCAGGAATCTGGGAATCCCAGCAATAATTTGGGGATCCCAGCAGGAATTTGGGGATCCCAGCAGGAATCTCAACAGGAATTTGGGGACCCCAGCAGGAATCTGGGGATCCCAGCAGGAATCTCCAGGAGCAGAATTCCTTTGGGATGTGCGCCCTGCTGGGGGACAAGGACCCAACGGGGGGACACAGAACACGTTCCCCCTTTCCCTGCTCCCCAAATCCACCTGGAAACGGCAGAAATCTCCCCAAAACCACAACCTGGCCTGGATTTTCCAGAATGCCTCCGGAATTCTGGGAATTCCCTTCCCGCTGCTCTTTGTCTGTGCCTTGGTGAATTATTCACGGATGGAACCGGAGCTGCCTTTGATGTGTCTGGAATAAAAATTCCAGGCGCATCCCAGGGCCCTTCCTGCCTGCACTTTATTTTTTGGAATAAAACCGGCATTGCTGTGGAATAATTGGAGTTTTCCCTGTGTTTTCCCTGTGTTTTTTAACATTTATTGAGTTTTTGGAATGTTATTTTGAGCTAAAAGCAACTCAGGTTTTGTACAGGAGGGATTTGCCCACCGGGCTCCAAATCTGCCCCTGGAATTCCAATCCTTGGCTTGGATTGGGATTTAAACAGGTCCGGGGATTGTCCTGAAGGGATTTGGAGAACTCCTGGAGCTTCTCCTCCTCCTCGGGTTGGGTTTGGGACAGCTCTGGTGGCACCAAATCCTTGGATTTGGGTTGGGACAACTCTGGTGGCTCCAAATCCTTGGAATGGGGTTGGCACGGCTCTGGTGGCTCCAGGGATTGTCCTGAAGGGATTTTGGGAGCTCCTGGAGCTTCCCCCACCCCTTACTCAGACCTAAAAACCTTTCCCTGTCCCTTCCCATGGAGAAACAAACCCATGGGGTGGAGAAATGAACCCATGGATTGGAGAGATAAAGCCACGGGGTGGAGAGATGATCCATGGGGTGGAAAAATGATCCATGGGGTAGAGAAATGATCCGTGGGGTGGAGAAATGATCCGTGGGGTGGAGAAAGGACCTCCTGGGCGATTTTCAGCCGTTCCTGCCCGGGTTTCGCCACCTTGGCTCACCAAGGGCCGCTTCCTGCGCGTGGAAAGGGGAAGGAAGGACGGAAGGAGGTCCCGAGGGGCCGGGCGGGGATGGGGCGCGGCAGGATGGGCCCGAGGGGCTTTGGGGGGCTCTGCCTCGCCCTGCTCTGCTCCGGGGCCGGTGAGTGGGGCCGGGGGCACCGCGGGCTGTGGGGCCGGAGCGAGGATGAGGAGGACGAGGAAGAGGAAGGGGTGGAAGGCAGCGGGTGCAGCTCGGGGAAGTCGCTGTAGGGCTTTTCCTGGTGGTTAAGCTCAGGTTTGGGTTGAGTCTGGCTTTCCTGAGCCTGGGTTGTGTTCCCAGGAGGGTTTTGGGGTCTTCTGAGCTGTCCCAGCTCCCCAAATCCATCCCAGCCCAGGAGGGGCTTTTGAACCATTTTGGGTTGGTTTTGTTGGTTTTCATCTCGGCAGAGCCACGGATGGGACTTGGATGATCCTGGTGGGCCCTTCCACCTCATGTTCCACAGTTCCATGCCCCAGATTAGGATATTTTGGGGTATTTTGGGGTATTTTGGGGTATTTTGTAATTCCCTGCTGGTGACCCCAAAATCTCCCGGGTTTCGGAACAGCCTCAGCTTAGCCCCAGCCCCCGTTTCCACTGCGAAAACCTGACCAAATTCGGGTTTTCTGTGTTGGGGGCGAGGTGTGAACCCCACAGGATGTGGGGCCGCTGCTCTGCTCAAGCTCAGCCCCCTCGGAAAGTTGTGGGACCTCCTGAGCTGGAAAAACCCGCCCGGATCACCCCACCCGACCCCAGGACACCCCAAATCCCCAAATCCCGCCCTGTCCCTGGGAGTCCTTCCTGAACCCTCCTGGAGGTTTTGGGGTCGGGGTCATTCCCTGGGAGCTGCTCCAGAGCCCCAAAACCCTCTGGGGGCAGAACTGTCCGGGTCTCCATCCCAAATCCCACCTGGAACACCTCCGGCCGTTCCTGGGATCCTGTCCCCGCTCCCTCGGAATTCCCGGGATTTCCCTCCCTCGCCTCTTTTCCAGAATTTCCTTTTGGGGCCCCTCCTGACCTTTCACCCTCTGCTGCTGTCCCCAAACTCCGTCCCACGTCCCCTGAGGTGTCACTGGGGTGGGTTTTGCCATTCCTGCCCCTGAATTTGGGGGACAAATCCCAAATCCCACAAATTCCCAGCTCTCGGCTCCCAGGAAGAGGAGCAGGGGAGCAGGAACGTCACCGAGGAGATCCCGGAGGGGACACGAGACCCCCTGGAGCCACCAGGACAGCCCAGCACGGCCACCGGGGACGGGGACGCGGTGACAGCGTGGCCAAGGGCCACCACGAGCCCTCCCCGGAGCCTTGGGGACCTCGCGGTGACACCGGCGGGGAACCGAACCCGTGAGTTCCACGGGGAAGGGAGGGAGGTGGCACTGTCCCTGGGAATTGTCACCAACCTGGGGACATGGCACCGTCCCTGGGAATTGTCACCGTCATGGGGACATGGCACTGTCCCTGGGAATTGTCACCAACCTGGGGACGTGGCACTGTCCCCTGGGAACTGTCACCGTCACGGGGACATGGCACTGTCCCTGGGAATTGTCACCATCATGGGGATGTGGCACTGTCCCAGGGAATTGTCACCAACATGGGGATGTGGCACTGTCCCCAGGGTTCTGTCACCGTCATGGGGACATGTCAGTGTCCCCGGGGATCTGTCACCGTCATGGGGATGTGTCAGTGTCCCCGGGGATCTGTCACCATCATGAGGAGGTGACACCACCCCTGGGAGAGCTGTCACCCTTTCAAGGGACGTGCCACTACCCTGGGGACTTGTCACCCACCCCAGAGGATGTGTCACCATCCTGGGGGATTTGTCACCCTTCTGGGGGAGGTGTCACCCTTCTGGGGGACCTGTCACCATCCCAGGAGATTTGTCACCCTCCTGGGGGATGTGTCACCCTTCTGGGGGAGGTGTCCCCACTCTGGGGGACCTGTCACCATCCCAGGAGATTTGTCACCCTTCTGGGGGAGGTGCCACCACCCTGGGGGACCTCTCGCACTCTTGGGGACCCTGCCACCACCCTGGAATGTCCCAAACCCCCCTCCCGGTCCCCTCTGTCCCCACAGGAACCTCCTCGGGTGTCCCAGCCCGGTTCTGGTCCCCCGTCATCTTCGTGGTGCTGGCCCTGCTCGTGCTCTTTGTCACCTACCACAGGACCAAGGACAAAGGTCAGAGCTCCCTCCCAGCACCCCAAAACCCCAAAAACCCCAAAGCCACAACCCCAAAATAATCAGAAATGCCCCGAAAAGATCCAGAAGTCACAACCCCAAAACCTCCTGAGGCCACAACCCCAAAATAATCAGAAATTCCCCAAAAAGGTCCGTAAGTCACAACCCCAAAAGGTCCAAAGGTGCCCCAAAATGTCCCTTTTAGGGGTGCAGCACCATCAGGGGGATCCCGATCCCGAAATCCCTCCTGTGGTGCCAGCTCAGGGCCGGGAGGTTTCCCCTTGCTCAGATCTGGCTCCAAAATGCCCCAAATTCATCCCAAAATTCCCTGAATTCATCCCAGATTTCCCATCTGACCTCAAATTTGCCTCTTTTGGGGTCACCTCTGCCCTTTCCTTCTCCAGCTCACACAAATTTTTGGCCTTTTTGTTTTTTTTCCCTACTCCAAACCCAAACTGGGGCTCAGCGGCTCCATTTTGGGGTTTTCCAAAGGGGATTTGGGGTGGAAAATCCAGGTTTTGGGTCTGTTCTGGTCACAGGGATCCGGGACCAGGCCACGAGCGGCAGCGACTCCTCAGGTGAGCCCTGTGGGGGCGGGGTAAATGGGGTAACTGGTTTTACTGGTTTTGTTTTATTGGGGCGTCTGATTTTATTGGGGTGTTTTTTAATTGGGGCATTTGATTTTATTGGGCTATTTTGATTTTACTGGAGTATTTTCTTTTACATTTTCTATTTTATTTTTATTTTATTTTATTTCATTTCATTTTATTTTTAAATGGGTGTTTAATTTGGATTTTTTTTTTTTCTGGGATATTTAATTTTGTTGGAATATTTCATTTTTTTCTGGGATATTCAATTTTATTGGGATATTTTGTTATTGCATCCCTGGAAGTGCCCAATTCCAGTTTGGGATGGCGGGAATGATCCTAAAGCTCCTCCCATCCCAAACCTTTCCAGAATTCCCAAATCCTCTAATTCCCAGATCTCATCCCAACCCTTCCCTTGCAGATTTGGGAGCTCTGGTCCAGCCTCAGGTCCATGACCCCATCCCAAAAATCCCGGAGCAAACCGAGACCGCCTTGGACCAGCCGGAACCGCCCCAACACCTGGTACTGCTTGGAAAAGGGAAAATTCCGGGGAAAAAGGGAAAATTCCAGGGAAAAAGGGAAAATTCCGGGGAAAAAGGGAAAATCCTGGGGAAAAACGGGAAAATTCCGTGGAAAAAGGGAAAATCCTGGGGAAAAAGGGAAAATCCTGGGGGAAAAAGGGAAAATCCTGGGGAAAAAGGGAAAATTCTGGGGAAAAAGGGAAAATTCTGTGGGAAAAAGGAAAATCTTGGGGGAAAAGGGAAAATTCCAGGGAAAAGGGGAAAATTCCAGGGAAAAAGGGAAAATCTTGGGGAAAAAGGGACAATTCATGGGCTAAAGGGACAATTTCTGGGATAAAGGGACAATTCCCGCCTCTCCCAACTCCCGATTTTCCTCCCCAGCCGGACTCGCCCCCGGGTGGCTCCTGAGGGTCCCAGGGTGGCCCCAGTGGCTCCCAGGCCCTACAACTCTTGGCCCCACAGCCCCAAAGCTGAAATAAATTTAATTTTAAAAAAGTCAAAACAGATTCATTTTATTAAAAAAACAAAATTGTACGATTTTAGTTCCTCTATGAAAAAAAAACAAAAACAAAAAGCCCGAAAAACAACCAAACACCAACGGAAAAAAAATTCCTACCACTGCCGGAACGCTCCGATCCACTGCAAAAATCCGGGAAAATCCAAGCTTTTTTTATATATTAAAAACCATTGATTTGACATTTTACAACTTTCTACACGCATGCACAAAACTCTCGGCTCTGCGGGAAAACAAATTCCAAACCCAACCCCGAAAACGGAACCAAAAAAAGGGAATTTTGGTCTCCCAAAATTCCCAAATGGAATCATGAATTCCCCACCCCTCCCAGGAAGATCCATCCGCCTTATTTATTTTTTTTTTTTTGCAAGAAAATGCCCCAAAATGGGCTCCCAGTTGAAATTCCCTAAAGAATTCCCCCCAAAAAGTCCCCCAAAAAAGGGGGATTTCCTGGAATTCGGGATGGATCTCCCCATTTTGCTACTGGTGCTTACTGGGGAAGCCTCCCCTGGCTCCAAACTCTTCCTTTTTAGTGCTTAGGACAAAACCGACCCCAAAACCCGACCCCAAAACGCCTCCCTGGAATGAAATCCGGCACTTCCAACCCCACGAGGGTGGAGGTGGAAGCTGGAGCGGGGGGGGGAAAAAAAAAGGGAATAAAATTCCAAATCCATCCATGAGGTATTTGCGACCTTAAGAGCAAAACCAGGAGGAGGCAAAAAAAAAGCGTTTTCCGTGGGAATGCCGTGGGATTCCGTGGGAATTCCGTGGGATCACCACGGAGCTGCCTCACCGAGGGACGCTCCTGAAGGACCTCGCTGACCTCTCCCAGGAGCTCCTCAGGGTTACGGATCCAGGATCGCCCCACGGAGAAGCCGCTGGAATCTGGGACGCGGATCCCCTCCGGAGCAGCAAAATCCACCCAAAAAATATCCCAAAACCTCAGTTCAACCTTCGGCTCCTCCAAAAAAACCCCAAATTTCCGCTGGTTTTTCCTAACTGGAGGCGAGGAGGACGCTCCCAAAACCTGGGGTGCACCACGGGAGCTTTTCCATAGCAGCCACGGATCCTGGAGATGCTTCCAAAATCCTTCTCCTCGTCCAAAGGATTCCCTTGGGATTCCAAACCCAGCCCCGGGGCCGGGCAGGGGTTTAAGGCCAGAGCCAGGACAGATGTCCAGGAGGAAACGGACAGGAGCAGGAGGCCTGTGGGACCCGGAGCTGCTCCAGGACGCTGGTGAAGAAGGAAGTCGGGAATTCTTGGAATTAGCCCTTGAGTTACGGCTCCAAAGGATCCGGATTTTGGGAATGAGTAGGAGGAGGAGGAGGAAAAGGGGCTCAGCCACCTCAGGAAAGGACGAGTGGTCATGATCCCAGCAAGGCGCCGGAGCCGGGAGCGGCATTCCCAGTTTTCCGCAGCCTGGCGGCGCCGGAGGTGCCAAATTCGGAGATTCGGAGCCGGAAGAATTCGGGAGAAGTCCCATCCCGGCCGATCACACCGAGGTCTCCGACTGCAGCCTCATGATGAACTTGTGCGACTTGGGGTCCACGAACTCCTCGGAGAGCTTGAAGAACGGGATCTTCTTGGTGGACACCACCAGGCTGAAGTCCTGGCGCTTCAGCACGAAGACCACGCCGTCCTTGAGGCCGTTGGTCACCGGCTCCTCGCTGACCAGCGTCCACTGCTTGGCCAGCCAGCGGTCCTTGTGGTACTGGATGGTGGGACCGGCCGTCAGGTACCGCTCCAGGAAGGCCTTGGGAAAGGGGAAGGACACGGCAACGTCAGCCCCGCTCGGCTCCGCCCAGGTTTGGCTTTGGAGGGAAAAACGGCCCCGTGGTGCCGCTTTGGGGATTTCTGGGGGTGGATCCTGGGACGGTCCAGGTTGGGAAAGAGCTCCGAGGTCATCGAGTCTGAGCTGAGGCCAATCCCCGCCTGCTCACCCACAATTCCAGGAATTCCTCAGACACCCCCAGGGATGGCCACTCCAACCCTCCCTGAGGCCCTTCCAAAGCCTTTCCAGGAGGAATTTTCCCAAATTTCCCACCCTGGCACAGCTCAAGGCCGTTCCCTCTTGTCCTATCCCCATTCCCTGGAATCAGATCCCAAATGCCCCCTGGCAGACCCCAAATCCCCCCTGGACCCCCCTTTTCTCCAGGCTGAGCTCCCCCAGTTCCCTCAGGATTCTCCATTCCCTTCTCCAGCTGCTCCAGCTCCATTCCCAGTTCCCTGTGAGAAGAACCCAACCCCACCTCGCTCCAACCCCTCGTTTTCCCCACGGGATGATCCCAAATGGGACAAAACCCACCCGAATCCCGCTTGGACGGCCCCACGCACCTTGGGGGTCATGTCGTGGGTGATGCAGAACTCCAGGTGCTGCAGGATGCTCTCCATGGTGTGGTAGGGCTGCTGCTTGGTGGTCCTCAGGTACTTCTGCATGGCGCGGGCCATGGAGGCGAAGATGGCCTGGGCGGCCTCGCGCGGGTCCATGATCTCCCGCGGGTTCTTCTGGTCCTCCTCCTGCAGCCGCTTGATGTGGGTGAAGGCCTCTTCCACCGCCACCACCAGCCTGCCCGAGAGATGGGAAACCCCACGGATTTGGGATGGGAAATGCCTTGGATTTGGGATGGAAAATCCCTTGGGTTTGGGATGGGAAACCCCTTGGGTTTGGGATGGGAAATCCCTTGGATTTGGGATGGGAAACACCTTGGGTTTGGGATGGGAAACCCCGTGAATTTGGGATGGGAAACCCCGTGGATGGGAAACCCCGTGAATTTGGGATGGGAAATCCCTTGAGTTTGGGATGGGAAACCCCATGGATTTGGGATTGAAAACCCTGTGGATTTGGGATGGAAAACCTTGTGGATTTAAGATGCAAAATCCCTTGGATTTGGGACAGAAATCCCTTGGATCCAGGATGGAAATCTTGGATTTGGTGGGATTTACTCAAATGGATGAAGGAAGCCAAGCTTCAACCAACTTGGTTGAAGATCCATCCAAACGACCGCCCTTGGGACGAGCCGGGATCGCCCCCTGGAATCTCCCCACCCATGGAGGAGCCGGAAGGAGCCCACCACGGCATTCCCGAGGCGGGGAATCCGCGGATTTCTCCGCACCTGGCGCGGCGTTTCCGCACCCGGCGCTCGTGCTCGGCCTCCTCGTAGTAGAACTCGTTGTGGCTGTTGTCGCGCCGCCGCGCCGCTGCCGCGATCACCGCCCGCGACTGCCCCGTGGAGTTGTTGGTGGAGTTCTCTGCGGGGCCGTCCCGACCAGGGATGAGCTCGGATTCCGCACCCGGAGCTCCCCCAAAAAAATTCCCGAGAGGAACACAGGGATGGGGATGGAGAACGGGGAGGAGAAGGAGAGGAGAGGCCACGGGAAAAGGGAAATCTCACCCTCGCCGAGGGAATAGACCTTAAAGCCGGACATTTTCTTGGAAAGGACGGATTTTGGAAGGTTGAGGAGGGCGGGGTTGTAGACCGGGAAGTCGTGGTAGTAATTCTCCAGGATCCACACGGCCGCTCGCTGGATGCTGCCGGGGGAAATGTGGGGCACGGGGAGAGCAGGGAACGTGTGAGGGACAGGAGGGGCTGGAATGGAATTCCCGGGGAAAAACGCGGCTGCCCCATTCCTGGAAGTGCCCAAGGTCGGGTTGGAGCCACCTGGGATGGTGGGAGGTGTCCCTGCCCATGGATCTTTAAGGTCCTTCCAACCTAAACCGTTCCATTATTCCATCAATTCCCAGAGAAAAGAGCTCCAGGATCTGAGCAGTGGCCGAGTCCCACTTGGTCATCCCGAGGACTCTCCAGGAATTCCTTGGACACCTCCAGGGATGGCCACTCCAAACCTCCCTGGTCAGCCCCTTCCAAGGCCTGGCTGCCCTTTCCAGGAGGGATTTTCCCAAATTTCCCACCCTGGCACAGCTCGAGGCCGTTCCCTCTTGTCCTGACCCCATTCCCTGCGATGAAACCCCCCTCAGAGGAACCCAAAACCCCGTCGGATCCCCCTTTTCTCCGGGCTGATCCCTTCCAGCTCCCTCCAAACTTCTCCACGCTGCCCCTCACCACCTTTTCCACAAAAAAACCCCATTCCCACCACGGGAACGCCCGCCCGGCCACCGCGGCCGTCCCCACCTGAGGTGGCCGACGTTGTAGAAGCGGCTGGCGCCGTCGGCCGAGCGCACGGCCTTGAGCGTGAACTGGGGCTGGAGCTGCCGCAGCTCCAGCAGCACCACGGCCAGGTAGTGGACGAAGAGCAGAGCGTCCACCAAGGAGACGGCGAACTGCACCACGCCGCGGTAGTTGCGGTCCCGCGAGTCCAAGATCCGCACGCCGTAGAAGAGCCAGTAGGACACGACCAGCAGGAAAACCAGCACCATCAGCAGGGCGCGGAAGACGAAGACGCGCGGGAAGAAGGCTTTGGGGCGGCGGAAGAACAAGGCCCAGCTGCCCAGCAGGAGGATGAGGAGTTTGAAGGCCACCGAGATGAAGAGCCCCTCGCAGGGCGTCCCGCAGGGCTCCAGCTCCTCCCGCCACAGCAGCTGCGGGAGGAGGAGGAAGGCCAAGGGCGTGAGGAAGGCCAGGAGCGCCAGGGCCACGCCCAGGGCCACGCCCAGGTGGCGGGAGCAGTCCAGGTGGGCGCTGTCCTCCATGTCCTTGGTGATGCGCGTGAGGTCATCGTGGGAGATGCTGTGCTCCGACGTCCCCGTCACCACCGTGGTGGTCTCGCCCCAGTTGTCATCCTGGGGAGGGGACAGGGGACATTTCCGGGGGTGGCTCCGTGTCCCACCTGTCCCAGGTGGCCACCTCACCTCCAGGACCTCCCATGCTTTGCACCTCCAAGCCAAGAGTGTCCCCATTGTCACCCTGGGGAGGGGGCAGGGGACATTTCCGGGGGTGGCTCCGTGTCCCACCTGTCCTCAGCTCCAGGACCTCCCACCCACCACAGCCCCAAACCAGGAATTGTCACCCTGGGGAGGGCCCAGGGCACATTCCCAGGGGTAGCCCCGAATTCCTCCAGTCCCAGAGGAACATTCCCAAACCCCCATCCCACCTCCACGCCGGGAGCGCTCCCCGGAGCCATCGCCTTCCTCGGGGCGGCGGAACCTCAGCCCGGGACTGGGAGAGCGGCGATTCCGCCGGGAATTTTCCCTCCGGGAAAGCTCCGGCTCCAGCAGGAGCAGCTTTGGGATCGGGAAGCTCCCGGCAGGAGCAGCTTTGGGATCGGGCAGCTCCCGGATTTCCTGGCAAACCCCCCCGGCTGGCAGGGCCAGAAGGAACATGCCCGGCACGCCCCCGCACCGCTGCCCGTGCCGGCAGGGCTGGGAATGGTTGGGAATGGTTGGGAATTGTCAGGAATTGTCGGGAATGGCTCCGGACAGGCCCTTCCCTGCTCCAGAACCCACTCTCCCAGCCAGAGAGGTGCCAAAAATCCTGGATTCCTTCCCAGCTGGATTCCTTCCCACACCCTGTGGGTGTCTTTCCCTCACTCTGCTTTCGGGCACTTGGACGTTCCTGGAATTTGAGGGTTTTTTCCCATTTCAGAACTTTCCCCACAAGTTTCTGCCGGAAAACTGGCACCTGTGAGGGTGCCTGGCACAGGTTTTTCCATGGATCCCCCACCCCTGGAAGCGCCCAGTCCCAG